AGATATTTCCCTGACATGCCCCCTTGCTGTCAATACAGGAGTTGAAACACAGACCTCAGCAATCGTCCTCTACTTCATCTGTGTTGATGAAGTTTTCATAAGTGGGTATGGTAGAATATACATAGACTGACAAATTTGACACTTTTCATGTTATCACCTTGAATACACAACTTACTAGGAAAACAATTGACAAGAGTACTAACAAAAATGATAACAGGGGTGTTAAGAGGTTCGTCAACCAGGATGATATGTTCCAGCCCAACATCTTAAATATTTGGGATAGCCAACCTTGTCCTATGCCAGAAATAGCATTCACATCCTCAGCTATTTTTCGGATTTTTACGACCTGAGTTTGCAATGGAATCGATACGTTTGGTATTGCAACGCAACACACGTCTCTAGACAAATTCAAGAATTGGCACAAATCTCCTTGTTTTATCAATAAGGCATCGAGTGCCAATCGGTTCTGGATGGTCATTTGGGAGGTGGCCTGGAGTTGCTCGTTAATCAACTCAAATCCGAGGGCAGTGTGATTTGCTAACAATTCCACTTGCTCAGCCAATTTGGCTAGAGCTATTCTGGCTTTTGCTATAGCAAGTCCCCAGAGAAATAGTCCCTCAAAAGCCCAGCTGAGGCCTTAGGCTATTTTCTCCCCAGGGGTCAATGAGCTCCACACTGGGGTAGAGGATCTAGTTTGTTGGTGCGCTATAATAGGGCCCCGTGGATGAGCCATAGAGGCTTTTAAAGGTGGGCAGAATAAAACTGAGCTCAGAAAACATTGAACGTTGGTTAACGTGGCCGGTAGAGTCGTATACAGCCGGCCGTCTGAACACGCCCAGGCCAACCCGAGAGGTGCCGGTGTTGTCAGCTCCTCACATCGGCTCGGGGGAAAGTTGGTATGTATAGATCGCCCTTGGGTTTCATGTTGCCTGGGAGAAGCTCTTGTGCTATTGCATACTGTATTTTCCAACACCACCCGTAAAGTGGGGAAGTGGAATGTTAACCATGGATTGTTTCCCAGAAAACTCGGGTCAATAAGATCGTCCAATTGGGAGCATATATCTGGGTAGGGAAATGCATGCCTTACTCTTTCAGGTGGTTCTTTTTGCGTCACTGGAAGTTCAATACCGTGGCATGCGGCATTTAATAATATCGCCCAGAGAACGGGGTAGTAGAACCCGTACCACGAATTGCCCCCATTCGGTCCAGAATTAGTCAAATTAATGACTGATTCTTCATCCCATTCAGCCAACGGCGTGGCTTCAGTGAGAGACGATAGAATGACTATAGGGGCGACCCTTTTCCCCCGGGGACTTAAATTAATATGCCAGGGCAGATTGATGGACTGGGGGTCCCACCGTAATGATGCATCAGGTCGGGACCATTCACCGCGCTGGGGGCTTACTCCCCATGGAATAGCCAAACATGTCAACGGGGTTTTTCTCCTAAAACACTTTTTTGCCGTGTCAGAAAGGTCTTTTAAGGTGAAGTTCCTAGGCCAGGAATATTCTGTGATAGTGTAACCCCCGTCCTTTAAAGGTATGGAGATGTTAATAGATGTTTTTTCATTTGCTGAGACCTCTAAGAACTATTTGGTTACATTGAAGGGTACCAAGAATGCGGTGAGGATTGGGTCCCCAACCGATATGGGAATCCTCAGGCAAGCAGTTAACCCCTGGCCCAGTTTGTCCTCCCCAGTGGCGTTAGCCCGCAGGGATAATAATTGGAGCATTGTATTGGATGAATGCCTGAGTTCCGTGGTTGGATTGGGCTCAATGCAATGTCTCTGAGTGTCATTGCCATGATGTCTACGCTCATCCAGCTTCGGAACTGCTCTGAATCGATCCCTCAATGTCCTGCACCAGCCATAATCGGGTCAATGAGTCTGGAATAAAAGAAAACAAACAGGACAGAACCGGTCTCGGGGTGAAACTATTTACATATTACTTTCTTTTATGTATCTTCCCTCTGTGTTCTTCAGCATGTAAAGAATGACATTATGCCCCCTTGCTGGAAACACAGAGGACCGTGGAGCCATTTAGAGTTCACTCTCATCCTCAAACTTAACGTGAAATGAGGGGGTAACTTTACGTAGACGAATGTAGATAGCACTTTCAGTCGTTGCGATAAGGATCTGTAGGTGAAAAACAAGCAGATTATGCTGATGAAAAATAAAATTAGCATCAGTCCAAATAGTATGGCTTGGGCTCGTTTTTCGGCCATAATCAGTTGCTGCAGCTCTTGAGCGGGTTTTCTTCTAGCTGGTGGAAGTTCGAGCTTCTCGTCTTTGGGTGTAGATGATGACGTGACATTCATTGTTTGTAGGTGAGAACTGGTAGTATCTTGGGCACTTTTAACGACAGGAGGTGGATCAGTGACTTTTGAATCGTTAAGCAGGGTTGGCGTTGTGGAGAACAGATCGCAATTATCATCCGCCGGTATTGTTGAAAATGCCTTAAAGATCTTAATCATATTATTGAAATGTTTAAAGAATTCCTTGGGACTGAATTCACTTTCTTGATAGGAATGGACGCTGTCTTTATATCTGTCTGATGTGAGGCATTCCAGAAGATCGTTAATCATTCTGGTGAGGCTGTTTAGGATTGAGTGGTTGTCTGAGGCGTCAGATGTTCTTGGAAATTTGTGGAGTAAGTTATTCAAGCTCTTTGCAAACTCGGGTACCATCAAATGTAACCAGCAATGATTGTGTACGTGTTCCACTTTATGGACATATTTAAGGGTTATCCTATAATCGCTCGGAAGATTTTTAATCAATTCTGGGATGTTATCGACGTCATCTGTCAGTGAATTCTCGCACAGTCTATAAGCAGCAGTAAGTAGATCAAGCGTAAAGAAAGTGACAATCCAAATTAAGTTTTTGGTCGGTGTCATGTTGGTTTACAACCTCCCTTCACTTGACGGTCTCAAGGTTATAGAGTGTCTCGGGTCGTAGGAGCCTGAAATAAAATAAAATCTAATCATCTTTCGGCAATATCGGGTCTGTGATGGCATGTCTCACTAACCAGTTACGATGGACCAAAATAGTTCTCGTGCTGTCTTCCAGCTGAGTGAGATAAGTGTTTGGGTATTTTTCGACCGAACGTATTACACCCTTTAACACTCACGGGTGGCGACTTTAGGGTCTGGTAGTGAGACTCAGACAAGTTCCTCAGTTTGAAATTTTGGCGTCCATGGGTCTATCAGTTTGTCGTTGCCTTCTACCCAGAGTTGTTTCCCTGAGTTTAAATTTATGAGGACCTCATGGTTGAACTTGGTCCAATTCTTGTACGATCCCTGCCCCCTCAGGCGCAGAGCTTCCTTATACAGCCCTACGGCACGTTCTACCACGCCGTTAGACTGAGGGTGGTAGGGTAGGTGATGGTGCCATCTAATATTGTGAAGGTGGGCAAATTTGTCAACAGCAGTTGATGTAAATGGTGGTTCCCCGTCCGATTGTATTACTTGAGGGACTTGCCATACGGCAAAAATGCTGGTGAGGGCGGAAATCACGGCCGTTGCATGAGTCTTCCGAAGGGGTATGACAGTAACCTGACGTGTCCCTAAGTCTATCGCTATTAGTCCTTTGTTGGGGACCGCAGCCCCGGTAAAGGACCTATCAAGTCCACTTGCCATGAACTCCCAGGTGAGAAGGTTTTTGAGTCTAACACCCCGTTGAGATTGCTTGTTGGATGTGCTTTTTCTGTGGCACAGGCCTCACAGGACTTGGTGACTCTTCTCCAATCCTGGTGCAATCCGTAATTAGATTTCTCCTGTGATGCGTTGCGCCATTTTTTGTAGCAGACCTTCGGACCCGGTTGACCCCAGTGTTCATGAAGCCAACTAAAATATGGGTTGGCACATATGGTCTTGTCAGTGATTTGGGTGGCAAATACATTGACTTCGGTGGGATATTCGAGGAGTTCATCAATCTTTCGGTGCACAGGATCAGTGTCGACCCGGTGGGATCTCGTGTGTTTGATTAATGGCAGCACTGAAAATTCAGATAATAATGTATATATTTCATCCCATAGAGGGAGATGCTCTGTGGGAGATGCCGTCCCCGTAACTATCTTGTATATGTACTGGGAATCAATGGCGATTATCAGCACTGGACGAGTTCCGTTATGATGTTTCAAACAGTGATATATGACGTCTCAGAACCCTAAAAGTTCGTTCTTTTGAGGTGATTCGCAGCCAGGGTGGATTTTATGTTCCACGCATGAATGGCAGTAAAAGCCATACTTCCCGTTTTCACGGGTGGAACCATCCGATGCCATCCGCACTGGCTGAGTAGTGCCATATAATATGATGTTTTGAGTCTCGGTTATAGTTTGCGGCGGTGATAAGTCTTCGTGCTTCCAAGCGTGCCATTGGTATAAATGGTTGAGTACCAGGGCACTCCATGTGGACAACTCGCCTTGGAAGCAAGGGTCTGGGCGGTCATAGGCAAGTCAGGGCAGTAACGTTGCTCCAGTAGCTCTCAATTTTCCCCTCCCAATGGCTAACGGCTCCGCTAGTTGAGCAGCGAGAAGAGTTTTTCCGATCACTCCATACCGATATTGTGTCATCTGGAGGGTTTTATGAGCAACATAAACAAGGTTTCCCTCGGGATTTTTCACAGTCACAAAAAGGTGTTTGGTAGTGAACCCAACGGTAATCGTGAGGGGTGTCTCGAAGTTTATGGTGTGTAGCGTAGTGTTCTGAACTGATATTATTAGTTCCTCTAGGGCTTTGGCATCTTTGTGAGATCAAGGTGTCTTTTGTCTAGTCTTTTCTCGAAGTTGTCTCTGTATGCGGGCTAGTACTGGTAAATGTTGCAGAGTAATGTAATGTCGGTACCAGTTTAGTTTACCCAGTATCGACTGGAATTCAGCCTTCGATGTTGATGGCCTCATGACTCACCCCATATCGTCTGGGTCCGGTGAAAGTGGTTCCCAGAAAATTAATTTGGTTGGTTGGGGTCAATTGAGACTTGTCCTCGTTGATGGTCCACCCATCACCCTTCAGGTGGAGTACTAACTTAGTTGTGACGTTTTGAACTAATTCTTCCGTTCGTCCCATGATTGCTAAATCATCAATATAACCCCAGAGTTTGAGTTGACGGGCTTCAGGATGTTTGTGGTAGAAACGGTCAAGGCTCTTGTTCATCACACCAGTTGCTAGCGCAGGGACACTGCAATACCCTTGCGGGCAGACATTCCACCGGAACATTTTCCCTCTTACGCACATATTTAAGATGCCCTCTCGGTCATCAATAGGAATGGAGAAAAACATATTTTTCAAATCTAAGGTTGTTCCAACCCAATCCTGCGATTGGTATATCGCCATCTCATTGAGACTCTGGACTAAGGTGTAAGGTGCCAGTTGGGTCAGGATAACACATCTCTTGTTGACCTCGCAATAGTCTACAACGAGACGGACCTCATTCGGCTTCCCCGGCTTGGGTATCCCCCATCCGGGTGACAGTTGAGTGCTAGCATGTACTGGTGTGATGGACCCATCTTGTTGCAGACTCTTGAGTAATGCGTCTAGTTGATCGTGGAACTGTTGTTTGGTGGGTATAGGAGTGTACCTCCAAACCATGGTTACCTGGAGGGATGGTCGGTGCCACTCACGTTCAGGCAAGATGTTAATCGGTAGGGCCTCAAGCACCTGATCTTTTAGGTGTAACGTTCAAATACCTGGTATTCCCAAAATGTTTATATGACCTAATACCGCTTCAAGTGGTTTCTTGCGATTTTTCACGAAGATTTTTACTCATGATGTCGCTAAGGCTGAGTTCAGTCCTTGCACCATCATAATTTTGCTTGTCTGTTTATGCGGAATGGATGGCTTAATCACGTTATCCTGGGCTCCCGCATCAAGTAGGAACCTTGCGATAGTTTCATCCAGGGGGTCGTCTGGGTTCTGGATACTAATCGTGGCGTAAGATCGTTGATCGTCATCCAGTAGTTTCGTGAAGCTTGTTGGCATCACCTCTCCGTTTCTGCCATGAATCATTTCATCAATAGTATCTTTTGCCCGTACCGTTTCACCAATCGTATCTTTGTCTTGCACTGTATCCGAAAATCTAACTATTTTCCATTTTCCATCGTTCTTTGTAATCGTTGTAATCGTATGTACTGTAGAACCATGTAAATTGTATCGTCTTTCTCCTTCAACCGTCTCCTGCTCTCTATCAATCATAGTAGTTACCATTTTTTCCGTATTTTGTCTATCATCCCGTTTGTCAGGATCCTCATAGCCGTCGGTCGCCGGACTCACGCCGACGGCGCTCACTCGTTTTTTGATTTGGGACTATATCTTTGGAAGCCCAGAGTTTCTGCTAAGGCTCTCTGACCATCATTCCCTAATAGTCTCAGTTTCTCTTTGGTTAGTCCCGATTTGTTGACTAGGAAACTGAATAGGGCTCTCTCCAGGGGTGTCCTTTATGGAGGTGAATACTTCGACGTTGAGGATGTCCGATTGAACCTTGGAGAGTCACGCATGAATGATTTCTCAGGTAGTTTCGTGAAAGGTTTTTGCGATCGGTTTTCTACTGGATACACTCTAACTGTTTCATGCTCCTCGCCAGAAGCGAGGTTCACCCTTGTTTTCTTCATAACTCCTTGGAGTTGGTCCAATCGGCCCAAGGTGTGAATGACAGGACCGTTAATGGACACGTTTAACAACAGTTTGGCCGTGATTCCTTGATCCCCACCATAGATCTTGGTGGCAGCGTCAGTGGCTTCAGCCAGACAAGGTACGTCCCCGGGGGTGGTAGCATACCTGTGCGGCCATGCTCCCTGTACTTGGGCTGGTGTCAGGTTCAACGGTTGATAAGCAGGATTCCAATGAGCATAAGATGCTCCGATTATGGCGTACACTAATGAGGCCACATTGGCACGGTCAGCTGAACCCTCGTGCCAAGCGTGAACCTTGCGCTGCAAGGCCTCTACTGCTAAAGCAGGTATTGGTATTGGCCTGTATTGATTGGCCAAAACTGGAACGGGGTCAACCACCTTTGCTCTACTCCATCCGGAGTTTCTTACAAGTTGCAATGCTTCCTCTTGATTGACAGTTTCGCTGCCAGCTTCCGCTACCAGGTGTCCCAACCATGTGATAGGCGTTTCGTCACTGTGGACCTGGGTGTCCTTCCTAAGTTCACTCATTTCTAATAGGTTTCTAGATCTTGTAGTTATCGTTGTTTGCATCTGTCCTTGTGGTCCTGTCACGAATTTTTGTACTGCAATTGGGTATGCAGTTACATACTCCGATTCGTTGCTGGTTTGATTGATTATAATCGCATTGCTTAAGCTTTTGGTTTCATTCGTAGCTTCCTTGTTTCTGATTGGCCTCAATAGTGTCCGTGCTTTGACTTGTGGCTGTAATTTCATCATTATCATTGGTCTCACTTGTGCCAGTTGCATTCTCGTAGCTGTTACTTGTCTGTCTTGCTGCTTCCGTTCTTGCGCTTCTTGTTACAGTGTTGCTTGTGGGTTGGTTGCTCTTATGGTTGCAGTTCTTCTGTACATCCCCTGGTTGGCGCCGGTCCACATACGGCGGCAGCGATGCAGTCGCAATGGGCGGTGCTGTTGCGGGAGGCGGGCCCCAGGTGGGTGGAGCAACAGGTGACGTGGTGATGTAAGGTGGGCTCGGAGTGGGCGGAGCTGGTGGTGACGTCAGAGAGGGGTTTGGCGCGCTTTCAGGGCGGACGGCACCATCTTGTAACGGCCGCTCGGTGGCAGTCTCAAGCTTTTCCCCCAGCTCCATGAATTCCCTCAATAAAATGACATAATGTTGGAAAAGCACGTTTATTATTCTGCCCTTTTTCCACCGGATGCCAGTCCACTTGGCCTTCTTCCCGTCTCTCTCCAGGCCCTCACGGAGCTGTGTTAGTAGCTCATGCCCCC